TTTTTAACCGTTTTTTTAAGATATGCCAGATACTATTGAAGTAAATCTTATAATATATGTGCCGATGATACTTAATACTTTGTAATTTTTGTTCAAGCAAAGTGAAAACATGATAATGACTGCACAAGAAAGATGTTAAGTAAATAAGAGCTAAAGAAACCTCAAACAAAGGAGAGATAACCATGCTATTTACTACGCACGTGCGTGCGTGCTCAAGTCAAACATTTGTAAATAGACATCCCAGAACAAAGAGGACACTTTCAACGCTCTGCTCTTGAAGGAACATCCCAAAAGGTACTCAAATAAAAAAGAAATTTAACAATAAAAAAAAATGCCTTTTTATTACTATCCCTTCATTATTCATGCACAAAAGACCATCTGCTGAATATGACGGCGGACGAAATGCACTGGGGAATTTCAAAACCGGTTATATGCCGAAAAAAACATATAAAAAGACTTCGCAATGATCTGTTGCCTGCTACAAGTGGTGAACGAAACCATAATGTAAGGTTTAAAAATCTGCGTCTGTAAAATAATATCAATTAAGTAATCACCGTGACCAAAATCACTACGTAACATGTGGTAGGTAACAACAAAATCTAGTAAACACATGAATAAAGGTGAATAACTCATTTCACAAAGGACTTTATGAATCATGTGCACCGATTGCATTTTAAACGTTATACAACGACGCCTAGTAGACAAAGGTCGCGCGGTGAAATTGTACGACTTGCATAAAAAATTAATTTATCAGTCAGAGCTCTAAACAATACATTTACATCGCATTAAACGAGTTGAACATTTCTGATCTTTAGTAGAACATTCTACACGTTGTCATTGCGGCCACATTATCAAACACGCCGGACTCAATTAAGTAGTCAACTCTATTGGTAGTGTTACGAACATTTCAATTAGATCTGGCCGGTTATAAAAGATAACTTACACGGCCTCCGTTTTGTAGTTTGCATTGTAGGGATTAGAAGAGTTTTCGGACCGGGGCGTAGCGTACGGCAGCCGTGTATTGTTGTCGTACAGCGAGTGGCAGCGCACGCGCAAGGTCATCGAAGGGAAATCGACGGGTGTCGTTTCGACATGGCGCCACTGGTTACATCTCGCGTCTATGTTTCATAAATTGTTGTTCAAAGCAATGGAATTTTACCGAGTCGGTAGTGACCCAACAATGTTTGATACTGCTGTATGTTTGTGTTGCAATGGGTAAGAGAAATGGAGAATTGCATTGATAGAATCGGAAATTCGAGTCACGTTTTAAAGTTGATGGTTGACTTCACGTATGTGGCTCGTAAAGCGACCACCGAGCGGCGTTGTGAGAGATAAATATGAGCATTGAAATGAATTGGACACAAAGGACATTACTGCCGGCGCGGCGGGACCAGTGTTTGTCACGCGAAACGGTCACGCAATGGTGCTTTCCCAAGGATTTCACAAAATTTTGTGAATGGTCTTATTATAAATTATAAGTATAATGAATGTCTAGCGTTTTTCGATTCAAAGTCGCCGTTGCTGCGTACGTTCTAATTATAAATTTAAGAATTTATTTGATTCTAATCGTGAAATTTAAATAATCATTGGAGTATTTTAGTTGAATGTAAGTTGATTTTAATTTCAAATCTTCATCATGTTATAATTGTTATCGTTACAGAATTATAGTGTATTATGAATTCTCCTTTTTAACAACAACAATTATCAGGGTAGATATAATTAAATAGAGCGTTAAGTATTTAGTCCTTAACCTGGCATAATATAAATGATAGTGTGAAATGTTTTATAAAAAGATTGCTTTGTAGTCCGTCTGCAAGGTCAGCATCGATTTTAAAACTAAGCCGGACTAAGAGTGCGAAGGGTTATGTTGTTAAATGCAGCGGTTGGATCGATACAGCCAGCAGCCAGACGACAGATGCATGTAGAGTTCAATAGGCGGCGTTGACGTCAAGCGTGTCTGGCTGCTGCCGGCCACGTTACGAGCAAACCTTCACCGACTTACCGGCTCAGTAATTAGCCGACAACTGTGGGAACCTTCATACCAGTATCGTACACCCTTCGAGGTCGATACACTATGCTGGCGATGTAAAACGCACAGTTGCTGTGCGTCAAACGGCGACGGATATAACAGTACTTACACTGGATAGAAGTAATCGATGTACTTGACGACCACTTCTCTGAGTAAATCTTGCTTGTTCATGATGGACGAGTAGCTTGCACTGATAAGTTTAGTTTGCATGACTCCCACTTCGCCTATCGATTGCACCGAGTGGGACTTTCGAGCCCCTACGGAAGGATTTAACGGAGCCGTGTTTGTGGATTTGTGTTGAGGAGACGTTTGAGCGTGTTTTGTATGTAAAAAAGTAAAAAAAAAAAAGTTGTTGTAGACGCACGGGCAACCGAACCGACGCGTTGCGGTAAACTGGGACCAGGGCCGGTCGCAGCGCGGCGTGGAGAGGGGAGAGGGACCGAAGCAAGTGGCGCGCGCACACTTCTGCCGCCTCTACCTACTACGGGCTACGATGGCGCTTCGAAACACCTAGGCAACGCTTTTGCGACACACCCGTTCACGTCCGTCGCTCTTCAACACCAGAACAACTCTAACAGCTTCAACAACCACCGCACCTAGCATCTAGATTTCGGCAGTTCGTTTAAGCGGTCCAGTCTTTTAGGTTCAAGGTTGATTCGATCGCAAATTTTTTGTGTATTCTAACTATATATTTAGTAAAAATAAAAATTAACACAGAAAACTTAACTGTTTTTATTTTAGTTACTACTAACGATAAGATTAAATGAGTGTTTGGTCAATAATAGTCATTTATTATTAGAGTTCTTAATTAAAATAAGATCCGTTTTACAACTGTTCTGAATTGAGTTCAAAAATGTATATTTAAGTTAAATGAGTGATTATTCCAAGTTCAAATTGTATAGTGTTATCATCCACATATAATCGAGTGCATGCCATCATGCAATTGTTTGATGTCGATGATGATTAATTGAATAATAATATATAAAATAAGCAAACACAATTGCATGAAATGTAAAGACGTAGTACCTACCAAAGTATAGAGAGGATAATTGTATTTATTGATCGAAGAGAGGATATTATAGATAATATTGACAATTAAAATAGAGAAATATACACACTATAAGTTTGTTTAGTAATAGAGATCATCTTTAAAATCATTTTTAACTCTTAATAAATTGTGCGTATTTAAAGTTCAGTGACAAATTGACAATACGAACCAAGTTGCCGCTCATCAGTGTCAGCTGCTGTTGCAATACATTATTTGCAAGATTTATCGCTACACGTGACTTCTCACATTACAAAACACATACATTATTACGAAGTTATTCTGACAATATTATCAAACATAAAAAAAACACATTTCAAAAGTCAAAAACATGTCGAGGTACAGTCAAAATGTACATAACACCGAATTAACGCTAAGTGGTGAAGTGACAATGAATTATATTCACGCAAAAATTGTGGTGTACAACAATAGCATTGTTTTGAAGCAGTTATATAGAATGACATAAATATGATACTCATTAACCTTGACGAAGTAATTAAAAAACTGTATAATAGTCATTTAACAGACAGCGGTTTCTATGTCTGTTTACAAATGAATATTCATAAAGTTAATATATCCATGCAGTGACCACATAGTGTTTCATATGCATCGCAGTATATCTAACGAGGTAGACATTTATGATACTATCACAGAGTACCATAAAATCAAGTATATTTATTATCAAAAGTCACAATAGAAGGATTGCAATTAAAAAGGATAAAAACAGTTCACCGTAAATAAATACTGTGGACAAGCATGAACTACTTTCATCAATTGACATAGATTTTTTACAATGAAAATTCTCGATGGTTGTACAGTATTTACAACGAAAGACTACATTTAAGCCCTTGAATTTAAGGTTACAGCTAATAACATTAATTCCTAATCTTTTACAAACTTTATGCGTAACCATTAAGAATAAAAAAAGAAACTAATAAAGATAAATCATCATCTCTGAGCTCTTTAGTTGAATCCACAACACATAATGATGGAACCACTACACCGATTGTAGCAATAGCAAAAAATATAGCCGTTATTACAGGCGAGTTTTTGTAACCTATTGCAATTACAAGTAAATTATCATCATTATCACTGATTACATTCGCGTACAAAGGAACATAATCAATAGTGAAGTGTTTGTTAAGTCCACTCAGGTATTATTGTTTTTATTAGTTTAAACAAGGATAATCTTAAAATATGATTTTATGTGTCTTTTGGAAATTTCAAATAAAATGTACAACTTGTAAGTACTCGCGATGTAAAGATAAATGTAGCTAGGAATTGAGGACGAAGAACATTTCTCTCATACAAATTAATTCTGTCAAGTGACGAGATCCTGATTCAGCTCTTCATCCTTATAATAGGGAGTAAGTTGGAATGATTGAGATTTCCGCTTAGTATCATCCTTGTTGGTTAGTTTCAAGATTTCGAAATAATTTCACCTTTATCAGAATGACTCTTAGATATATAGAGTATTCATTGTTAGAAGAGCTTTGATAGCATACATATTCATGAACTTTAGTATTTATGTTACACTAATTGAGTAGTCTCGCCAGATTACTTTTCAAATATAGGTGGTATAGATATCTATTGCAACAACACGAAGCTACTGTGAGTGGTAATGAGCAATTGCTGTGTGATCAAAATAACCAACCAAGGTCATAATAATAAAAAATAATAAAGTAAGTTTCCAACACTGGAAATGTCGCGACTAAAATCAAAGAAAAAGTATGAGACTGATAACATAATGAGATACGTCAGGTTGACATGAAACATGTTAGTTGATAAAGTCAACTAAGCGACATAGCGCTAACATGTACATATATAATTGATAGCGCGCATCGACAGGAGCGGATCGATTGAAGTGCTTTCAGAAAAAGACTAGTGTCGTTGCGAGTTGCAGTTTCAATGTCAAATCATATGAACTTACGAGCACCATGTGTTCCGGCGTGCGAAAGGTGAGCGGTTTCGTTCGGGGGTGAACAATGGTTTTGATTGGGCTTCCTGAGTGAGGTTGAGCTTCAAACCGGCAATGGATTTTCGTCTTTTGGCGGCGAGTGCGCGCGTAGCTAGATCCGAGTCGTGTTGGTCGGGGGAGGATGGACCAGTAGCGTGCGAGCAGCTCTTCATGTGCGCCTGCGCGATAGCCACCTGCAGTAGTTTAGAGGAGAGGCTGCGTCGCCCGAGGGCGTCACACGTCGCGCAGCGACCTTCGTCCATATTTCTTCGTGCGCCTGGCCCGACCACGCCGCGGACACTGAGCGCGTATTGTTTCCAACGGACGTGGTACCGGCGACGGCTTAACTGATGTCATCCGACGAGCGTTGTGTACGCGCGTCCGTTCTCGTTCGACGCACGAGAATTTCAACGCGTTATTCAAACTCAAGTCGAATCCGATCGATACACCGACGAATTACGTTTAAAGCGATAATAGGAGCGCGATAAGGTGTACCTACACGCGAATAAGTGTATTGACCTAGACGGCTAGGCAGGCATAAGCACGGCTTCGCTCCGGCCTCGGGGCGGGCGTGCGCGGGCGGCTCAGCACATGCGACTGCGGTAACCGTATGTGGCGCCCTGCCACCGCCCGCCGTAATCCGAACATTAACTAAGATATCGATGTTTTGCGGTAAACAATACTAAATATCAATGTGTGAACATCATACGACTGTCGTGGAATAGACCTTGCCGTGGTATATAAAATCCCACGAAGTGTCATCCGTGCATTCCTCTGGAAACGGTCCAGGTGGTGAACATTATAAATAATTATTACCCAGGGATAGATCATCGGTCGTTGGGAGTTCTCATCATTTATTTCTTTCCTCAGTATTTAAATAAAATTAAAAAATGGGCTTAATTTTTTTATTGATATTTGGCTCAAGAAATAAGGAGCAAGGTCTCGTCTCGGATTGTCCTAGAAATATTATTCTTGGACTCAATTTATCTTCTAAAGAAAAAAATTATATAACACAGCCCCATTAAATAGTCTTCTGGCTCACGCCTGTGGTCAATTGGAACGGATGTAAAAAGAGTAAGAGTGGAGCGACAATAAAATATGTAAGTACATAGTTTCCTACAAATCTCAGATAATAATTATGATATAAAAGTTGGAAATATTTTTAAGCGTCACATTATTTGCATATTTTCAGAATATATAAGCGTTTTAAAAGCTATGGCTCATGATTGCCATAATTTCAAGTCAAATAATGCAATTTAGCTATTTTCGTCCGACACTCAAGAATGAGATGAGAGCCGCTGAGACTCGACCGAGGTGACATCGTGTCAAATTTGATTGGACACCACGTCAGGTACCAGGCGGACACATCATGCCAAATACCTATCGATAGTTTTGATATATCAATGACGATGTAAACAAAGTGAAATATTGGCGGCAAATTATTATGTATAGGATATTTAATTTTATACAGCTGATTATAAAGATATTTATTTGTTGTAGTATTTGTATTTATAAAGAATGTAGTAAAAATAAAAAGAAGAGGAAAAGTTTTACGCAACAATACAACAAAGAGCAAAAAAACGAAATATCATTTAATTTAAAAGAGACTTAAAAAAATCGACACTTATTTTCATATTTTACGAAATAAAACAGACAAAAATTAAATTGTACATCTGAGTTGAAAGCATTTTTTATCCAACTTGAATATAACATCGAATCGATTGGCAATACCGTAAATAACTATTGATTTTAATAACCATGAAACTTTTGAACGACATATTGAATTTATTCAGTCTTAAGGAATTGTATTAAACAGAAAAGTTGGAAACACATCTAGATAAGTATGATATTTCACTATCAGTCGGACTGCAATTAGCATCTAGAACTCACATAAATAGTTCTTAGATAGCAATTTTAGTTTTATTTTTTCATATCAAATGTATCCAATTAGTTTGTTTCTCATAACAACACGAGAACCCTTTCATTATACTAATCCAAGGTCTTTATTATATTTGAATAAGACCGATAAATAAAACTACGGCATTACATAATTTTACATTAAAGCTATTCTTATTTACACAAAGCAGCTATTGCTTGATTCATTTTGCGTAATAATTTTGAACTTATGTCTAACAGATTTTAATTACGTCCATTAAAATGCTGTTCGTCTACGAATTGTGTTTTATGTCTAGCAGACATCTTAGATAATGTTTACAGTGCAATTAAGTTATAATAGCTAATTTATGCTGTTGAAAAGAAAATTTCGGAATTTCTTTGTGTTGATTTTAATGTGTAATTACTACATAAAAAAGCTTAAATTATGGACACTACAAAAATTGTGGAGTGTGGGTCAGTTACAACTAACAAAGCCCAAAAAGAATGTAATTAAAATTACATTACTATAATTTTCTTTGTCACAAAACTGAAACTTACTTCAGATTATTTAGACGATACCCTCGATTATATCGATGGCGTACCTACTTTGATTGCTCTATATTAGTTGATTTTAAAAACCAACTGCTCACATAGCTGTCTTTAATAAAATTTGTATTAAGAAGTTATGGCCGGATATGCACAAAACAAACATACAAATACAGGCTAATAATGTACTCCCTCCTCAGTTTTGATGTAATTAAACAAAAAAAAGTGAGTTCTTTTATTTAAAGAGAAAGAGGGTACAAAAAACCGTTCACTCACGTAAGAGTTTATCGTGGTTAATTTATTATAAGTTAATAAATATAAGCGTCATTCCATCAAACACCAGGCATGCATGTAAATCAACGGCCGGTGGTGTCCAAGCAACCTTCATATTGCTTTCACAAACGACATTTACTAACGCTATACACTGCCTCTATAAAAAATCATCAATTCCCATCTTCCAAACAATCAAGCCATTTTTAGTTTATATGGCATAATCTTTTCGTAATTTTACTTAATCACTTCATTCCTCATAATTAAAAAAAACTTCTATTATAGATAATGAATGTTGTGGAAGAAAAACGTACAACTGTCTCGCATCATGCAAGTGCAACATGCTCTGGGTTTCACAAATGGAATGTAAACATAATATTTATTAAAAAGGGAATTTACTTAACAGTAATAATAAGAAAAATATCGTCAATGGTATTGATCCACTATAGAAACCTGGAGTTATCTCCGACAATATACATTTTGGTCTGATAAAAAAAACTTACCTATGATAACTACGGATGTGAGCTAATGAAAAATGGATTGTATTTAATAATACAATTTTTTAGAAAATACGGCAAGAATCAGAAAATAATATTTAAATAATAGATATAATAGATCAAGACGTAAAAACACAATTGATTTTGACTGCAACTCAAATGTAACAAATAAATATATTATAAAATACAATATGAAGTTTTATATTTGCTGAAAAATAAAGCATATAGGTATTGCGCGTTGAAGATGAAAATGATTAATATGAAATTTCCTGGTCATTTAGATTTTCCTAAATGTTGAATTGAAGAAATTTCCTTTTGTTTGTACGATATTGAGGCGTTGATGGAAGATAATACGATTGTTTGTGACAAATTAACGTGTCCCAACATTGTGCTTATTCACTTTTTATAACTCTGAACAAAACGTGTACAAAAGCTGAGGAACTGCAACAATAAACTTAAATTATATGATGAGTTTTTCAAGTCTCTATTTATAATGTTAGGAACCCAGATTTGAATGACGCCACCATGTTTTATTCACATGTATGGTTTCTTATTTCATACTTGATCGAAGATATATTGACAAAATAGTTGACTGGTGACACAATCAGGGTAACTGATAAAATTATTGCTATTCGTTTTCTGTAATCGATTAGATAGAAATTTGATAAGCTATCATTTAAGCATTATATGCAACACAAGCGATTGGACACTTCATATTTGTTAAATAACAAAGTTAATGAAATTAACAAAACGCCAATTATGCCGATTCCTTAGAACGCACACAATTCAGACAAGAACTTTTGGAATTTCGATAAGGCATAACGAAACAAAGGCTGTTACGTTCCTATTACATAATGATGAACGAAAGCATAATAATTGATAAATGGATAATTTTGTTAGATAAGTTCTATCGTACATTTCCAACAAAAGGTTTCGAAATGAAATAATTAAATTCTTTTGCATATATGAACGTACATGCGTCAACTGATTCGCGTAAAGATATCAAACGTTTGGTAACATTCATGAATTTTGAAACTTTACGTCTCGTCTGTTCTCATAAGTAACATAAATTTGTTTTTAGTAGATTTTATACATCAAATTCATAAAACGTCCTTGGATATGAAGATAATAGGTTGTGAAAGTTAAACAAATAAATGTAGTTACGAGCATAAGAATAGCACAACTGTTACTTAATGCGTGCTCAGTTCACACGTTAGACGAGTGTTACAATACGGACTTTTAACGATACCAATTCACAGCGAAACATTTTCGTTACCCAATTACAGCCTTGACATTCACAATTCATATTGATTGCCAATTTGTTGTTGTTCACCGAGTCCAATTATTTATTACTCCGCGATCATTTTTAAATTTACAGTTTGTTTGTCAATATCTCTTTCTAGAATCGAATCTCAACTGATACCTACCGATAACGTGCTACTACGTCTCGAGAGTACGTCTATATAAACACCGCTGCCAGATAACGCGCGGAAAGTAAACATCCAACGCGGAAACGATAAAATCTTCGTCGATATTTTGTCACCTACTGACCTGTCTAGAACGATACTCATATGTCTGTGAAGGTTCGCTTTCAAGTCTCTCCGCGAGTACTGGTGCAGAGAGGGTTGGGGCGCGGGCGCGGGGGCCGGGGGAGGTGCGCCGGCCGGCGGCCGCTTCCCGATCAGCACCCGCAACTCGGCCATCAGGGTCTGCACCATGCGGACACGACCGGAGTACGCCACACCACACTCACTTGTGAACGGCCCTCAATCAAGTGCCAACAAGCCAAGAGCCATTGGCTCAACCGTTGCATCGACGACTGTATACGTCACCGATGCACGTGATAATTAATGTAACATCGATATCGACACGGGCGTCGTCACGGGGCGCGTACGGGAGACGCACTGTTCACGTATGTATACGATGGACGGTTTGACCTCGACGAAGCTTTTTATAAGTGCCCAATGAGTGCGCAAGGTGCTGTATGAGAGACAGAATAAATTTCGTATTTATATTTAGACTAGAACGCTGAATAACTATCATCGTACGTACAACGTTAACCGTGATTATAAAATATTTTGAATTTGAACTCTTAGATCTGAGCGGTTTTTATTTTGTAAGAATGTGAGATATTCACGGACAAGGACAGATTCTAACCCCTTTCTCGGATTACGAGAAATGATTCAAGACAATAACAGATATAGGTCGACTTCAGTTGCTTACAACTGGAGAACGGGGTCATGAGAGTATTGTTCTGGATATCTCGTTTGAAAATGGGTCAGTTATGTGCTTCCGAATTAGTACAAGGACTCGGGATGCGTTTCTGCTTACTAGCGCATGATTCAGAAAACATGATTAGTCACATGGAAACGTAAAATCCGATTTTACGCAAGGTCACCACGAGCTTTCAGTTTTCGTTTTACTTCAAACAATCGACTTTGAACGTGAACGTATTACAAAGGTTCATGGAGAAGTAAAAATAACACTTGTGTAAAAAGCACACCACCTAATGCAATAATGGGAAGACAGAGACAAAGCGAACCAAAGTCAAGCTCTTATTTTGCTGAATATGATCACTAATTTGATAGTAACACAGGAGGTCATTATTATAAAAATCAATCGTTTTAAACAATCGAAATAATAAAAGCATTTTAAAAAAAACAAAAACATTTTTTTTGTATTCTATGTTGGAAATAAGTTGCTTAAAATGAAATTGATCGTGTCCAACTTTATAAAATATTTAAACTTAGTAGACATTAGTGAAGCCATCACTACAAAACACATTAATAATAAACAAGGAGCATTCTCTTAAAATATAAAATGAATTTTACAATACAACGCCTTTCATCATCGACATAGAGAACTGGGTTTTGGGTAATAAAATTTGTCCTTGTTTCGAACTACAAATACACTTGCTGGTTTACAAAGAGAGTTATAAATAAACGAAGGTATAGTTACAAAGAAGGAAACGGCTGCATTATTTCGCCGTGTACATTTCGGCAGATCTTTAGGTAGTATGGACAAAACGCGTCGTTTTCGTAACATAACTGTAGGTAACGCACACATTACGTGTGCCAGTCTTGGGAAACAAAGATGCGATACGTAATACTCAGGCATATATATATATAAAATGTTGTATAATTAAGCTCTCATTTAGTTCTAGTCGCAACGCAGGCGTCGATCGAACCAAAACATAACCTCAGATAATTCACTTTCTCCCTGAGAAGAGGGTTCAGCTTAGATTGAGATTATCCGAGTGTAATCAAACAGACGCACGGACTAATGCTTCCGACTTGAACACAATTGTTGAGGAAATGTCAGAGGCGAGATATTTCCTCGGTTAGCTTACAACTTTAATCACTCTTACTATAATCATTGCATTGTATATCTAAGTTTTTGTCAGTTACCGTATCCTTTATCTCTTCCTTGTTTCATTTGCTATTACTATTTCTATTCATAAACTAGCTTTTCGCCAGCGGCTTCGTACGCTTTGAAAATCGACGGCACTTTTCTCCCTAAAACATAATTTAGTGTGATAGTCTAAATGATATGTGAATTCAGGCTAAGAATTATCCGTGTGCCAAATTTCATCAAAATTACTTCAGCAGTTTTTGCATGAAGAAGTAACTATCATGCAAAGCCAACCTTTTGCCTTCATAATATCAGTAAGAGGTAAGATTACAAACTTTATTCGGTAAGATTGTTTACAAAAATCTAGTTCAAATCGGCATTGGACAATGAATCCAACAAATGCAGCAAGAAAACAAAAAACGCAGGTAAATTGGACTTTTTCATAAGTCATAAGGAATAAATGATAGTAAGATAAATTATTCACGCAGGTCTCATTACGCCCCCATGCATTTACCTTGCACATTTCATTAGTTACCTATAGAAAAATCAATATTCCAAGACTTGTCTATCGATAACGTTACACAAAGGAATTTTTTTTAAAAATCGTGTTTAGACACTCTCACACATACGCAGGCATAGAAACAAATTGAAATATCATAAGAAATACAGGATAAATCAACAAACGTGATTGTAAGAGATATTCAATTAGCACAGAAAAAACAGCCGTTGAATAATAAAAAAAAAAACGATGATTGGGAAACACGGAAGCGTGACCTAGTTTAGACAGTAAATAGAACGCCACGTTTATAAATACTGTTACTTACAGATGATATTTCAGATTGGCCTCCAGATCTTCTGGTAGATGATTTGATTATATAAAAATATGTTTTGATATAATTCCGCGATATTATAACAGTGTTTGTAGCGAATAACGCCCAGTCAGCGCGGCGGTATTGTACACACTGAGTTAGTACAGAGTGAATGTAGTGAGTGTGCGCGCGTCCCTATTCCCGGCGTCCTTGCGTGAAAGGGGCGGTGTTCTGGAGGGTGGCGCCATGGAAGCACGTCAAAGCGACGTCAATCAATATGCGAGATGAGATCCCTTCAGTTAATCGCTAGTCCACTAGACGTGATTCTCTCATGAGCTTATTAGTCTCGCTTCGCCACCACTGCGACGTGAAGGCGACTTTGGAAGCGCACACAAAGTATGTAATGTGCAACAAGTCATACGCAACAGGTTTAATATATGCACATCACAACTAAAACGAGATCATTGTGTAAGCGGTCATCTATTCTACAAACAACTGGCACTCTTTTAAGTTGGCTGGCATCGTTCAAGTTATCGTGTGCGATTACCAAAACACCGTTTGTCAACATTTAATGTTACGGATATTGTTTATCAGATTATATACAAGCAACTAAGAAAATAATACATTATTTGAAAATGTTATTCGGAAAGATATATGAATATCAGCTGCTTGTTGCGTGCTAAAAGAGTCGTTAACTTACCCTATTTTTTATTATCTGTTTGGTGATCAAACAGAGTTGAATATATACGAATTTAGGTACGTTTTTCAACTAGTGGGCGACACTAACTTTATCTATATATTTTTTAAATGCATACAATGATGTCGTTGTCGTAAATGTATAACCAAAATCAGTATTGCACGGAACCAGCTGCGTTATCGAATATAGTGATACTAAATACAATGATATAACGTAGTGCATTCAGCGAACACAATCTGAATAGAAATACTTGCTGTTAATGCCGATTACGCAAACTGTTACGTAGCATAGTTCGTACGAAACAGCACGCACTGTGTCGTATCATATCAGAACGCATCAGTGCGTCGGCTACAGCTGATCGACGCAAGCTATATCGATATGCACAATTAAAGTAAGGAGCTATTTCTTAACCTACATAATATATTTCATTAAAGCAGCACTCGTTATATTTCCAGAATAAAATCTTATGTTGTTACCTTTTACCCAAAACAGGCGAGAGAAAACTACAATGCACAGACAAAACAGGCCAATGACTCAATTAGAACCTAAATTAAATGAATGTTAGGAAATTATATTTAAACTGCACATATTGTAACGTGCAGTGCATCCGATTATAATGCTTGATAGTAACCATGAAGCAATCTATCCAGTAAGACGAAAACAGACGTGACAAGTGTGCGGGCGCCTCACAAATCCAAAAAGATTGATTCAGTGATAAGCAATGCGATGTTATCTGTCGTTATATAAGTAACCACACGGGCCTGCTTTACGGATATTGCGTAGAGTAAATTTCGAAACGTTCAATAAGAAGATCCGGGAAGAAATATTATTAGAGTGGTATATTTTGTGGAGGAGAAAAATTACTAGGGGAGCGAGTGAAATCGCAAGAATAGTGTGCAACCATTTATAAGTAATGGACTAGACAAGAAGAATTAGCGCCGCCCGACAGCCCAAGCAGTGCTGACCGCAAGGGAACGGGACAGGCACCGTAGTAGACTTTCCCTTTTCTTCTTGTGAAAGTGATGATGCCCAGTTCAACGGAGCAACAACTTGCATTTATAATTTAATGGCAAATCACCCGCATTCAGCTGAGTCAGTTGAGGAAACAGATCGGACTTATGTCGGTTTCCTAGAAAACGCAATTGAAGCCGTCCGCTAAGTACTAGAGTGCAGTTATCCAGTCATGATTGTCGAGTTAAAAGTGTAAATTTCAAAACGTAAACACGTTACAATGCATTCGATTATAATGCTTGTAAATAGAGCGTCGATTTGCTTAGATATGTAAATTCATCGTTAATTGATAATGCAGTAAAGAAAGGTAAGCGTTGCGACGCAATTCGTATTAGAAATCGCACGTTAATCAGGAAACACGCAGGCATTAATCAAACCAATGTAACACATTACTTTATCTGTCATTATTGTATGGAAATATGAAAAAAAAAAAACAATTATAAATTAGATCTCTGTTCGTGATCCATTAAAAAACACCAAAATAATACATTAAAAATATAAAACAGACTTAAAAACATCTTCATAACAGTAAAAAATAAATTTTTGAAACTTCCGTTGAACATTTTGATAGTGGCATTCTCTAAATTGAAAGGTAATTATGCAAACGAAAAAGAAATCATTGCGATCCGTCCTATGTGTAACTTGCGAGAAGTACGCGGACAAACATACCGACATAACCTTACGAAATTGAATTCTTGTAAGAGGCTTATATAGACTGCCATAACTTTTATGCAGTTAAATAGCACCTTAAATATTAAATGTACAACAAAATATATGGTTTAAAGCACATTTAGTTGAATTAAGACTTCATAAGAGAAACTTTAAAGTACTAGGTAACGACTGATGTGTT